GAAAGAAAGAAAGAAAGGAAGGAAGGAAGAAAGGAAGGAAGGAAGGAAAGAAGGAAGGAAGGAAAGAAGGAAGGAAGGAAAGAAGGAAAGAAGAAAGAAAGAGAGAGAAAGGAATGAAGGAAAGGAGAGAGGAGGGAAGGGGGAGGGAGGAAGGAAGGGAGAGATGGAGGGAGAGAGAAAGAAAGAAAAAAGAAAGAAAGGAAGGAAGGAAGGAAAGAAGGAAGGAAGGAAGGAAAGATGGAAAGAAGAAAGAAAGAGAGAGAAAGGAATGAAGGAGAGAGGGAGGGAAGGGGGAGGGAGGAAGGAAGGGAGAAATGGAGGGAGAGAGAAAGAAAGAGAGAGAGAGAGAAAGAAAGAAAGGAAAGAGAGAGAAAGAAAGAAGGAAAGAAGGTAAAGGAAAAAAAGAAAGGAAGGAAGGAAGGAAAGAAGCCCAGCCTTTCCAGTGTCCAAATGACCTGGAAAAAGTGACAACTATTCCTCAGGTGTTTTTCAGCATTTTATTTCCCACTTAGCATCCTCTTGGAGTCAGTCATTCATTCATTCAACAGGTCTTCAATAAGCCTCTACTATGTGCTAGGCACTGAAGATACAAAGAAAGACAAAAACAGTTCTGCCTTCGGGGAGTTTCAATTTCTCTTGGGGAAGGAGAGCAGACAGGCAGGAAACAAGTATTTATTAAGTACTACTATATGCCAGGTACTGTGCTAAATGCTTGACAAATATTATTTCACTTGATTTTCACAACAGTCCTGTGAGGTAGGTGCTATTATGATTCCCATTTTACAGTAGAGGAAATTGAGGCTGAGAGAGGTTAAATGGCTTGCCCAGAATCACGTAGCTCATCAGTGTCTGAGGTAGCATTTGAATTCAGGTCTTCTTGACTCTAAGCCTAGTGCTGCAGCCACCTGATCACCTAGCTGGGTAAGTGTAAATGTTCAACTATACAAAGATAAGCAAATACAAAATTTATATAAAGTATAAAAGTATATCTCTCTGTCTACCTCTCTCTTCCTTTCTCTGTCTCTGTCTGTTTCTCTGACTCTATCACTGTCTCTGTCTCTCCGTCTCTGTCTCTCTCCATCCTTTTAAAATTAGAAACTTAGAGGTGGAAGGAAACTTACTGTGTGGTCAGTCCCTCAGTTCATACCTGAGCATCCTTCACAGTATTCCAGGCTCTGTTTGAATAAATAAGGGAATAGTTCCTCCTACCTAATGTGGATGATTATGACTCTCCAGGGATTGGCAAAAATCCTTAAAGAAATATTGAAAATGCCTTACGTGATCGAAGAACATTGATTTCAGCAATCATTCGACTTGAAGTCATAAGCTCTGAGTTCAAATTCTGACATTGCTATTTACTTGCAGTGTGACTTTGGGAAACAACTTTTCTGGACCTCAGTTTTCTCATCAGTAAAATTAGGAAGTTGTACTAGATCATCTCTAAGGCTCCTCCCAGCTCTAGACCTATGACACTTGACCAGTGACAGTGTATAGAACTCTGAACTTGGAATCAGGAAAACCTGAGTGTGACTCCTGCCTTAGATCCTTCCTAGCTGTGTAACCCTGGGCAAACCACTTCACCACTCTCAGCCTCAGTTTCCTCATCTATACAATGAGGATAACAATGACATCTATTTCACAGGGCTGTTGTGAGGGCCAAATGAAATAATATATATAATGTTCTTTGCAAACCTTAAACTACAGAATTTTTCATTGCTTTTGTCATGTTTAACCTTCATAAGGAATAGCCATGACTCCTAAGTACTTAAATCTATTACTTTAAATTCATAGCCTGTCAACAGAACACCACAACTGGGGAGTCTACAAACAACATTTTTAAGGATTGTTATTGTTGTTGGGTTGAGTCTGACTCTTGACCCCATTCGGGGTTTTCTTGGCAAAGATACTGTGGTAGTTTGCCATTTACTTCTCCAGCTTATTTTTACAGATGAGGAAACTTAGGCAAAAAAGGTTAAGTGACTTGCTCAGGGCCACACAGCTGGTAAGTGTCTGAGGCCAGATTTGAACTCAGAAAGAAGAGTCTTCTTGAACCCAGGCCTGGCACCACCTTGCTGCCTTTAAGAGTTACTAAGCACTTAATGTTTTCTCATTTGATTTCCATTACAACCCCATGAGATAGTGCTTCAGGTCTTACTGTCACCATTTTTTAGGTGAGGACAAACTGAGTTTGAAAGAAGTGAGTGACTTACCCAGGGTCACATAGATAAGTATGAAAGGCAGGGTTTGATCACTATCTCCTGGTTTCAAATTCAATCATCCCTCTATGACTATGGAAACAAAACACAACTATGATATTGACAGAGTGTGAGAACATTTTATTAGGACCCTTCCAAGACTTTAGCTTTATTCTCAGCTGTATGCATCTAATTCCAATTGTTATACCTACTTGTTCTTGTTTTGGACAACCACAGAATCACAACAGAGCTGGAAGGGATATTGGCAAACATCTTGTGTCCATCCTATACTTGAACAAGAATAACTAATGCATCATAACCCCAAAGGGGTCATTCAGCTTTTGCCTGGAGGCCCAAGAGATAATCTATTACCTTCCCTGGTAGCCCTTTCCACTTTGGGAAAAGTCTAATGGTGAGTTTTGTTCTTAATCAGCCATTCTCTGCTAGACAGGGCCTTAATCTTTTATTCCCCATGAGGCCAGTACATGACATTCTGTGCTTTTACAAGTTTGGGGGGGAAGAGGGGAGAGAAAGAAAGAAAAAAAGAAAGAGAGAGAGAGAGAGAGAGAGAGAGAGAGAGAGAGAGAGAGAGAGAAGAGAGAGAGAGAGAGAGAGAGAGAGAAAGAAAGAAAGAAAAAGAGCGGGGAAGGAAGGAAGGGAGGGAGAGACAGAGAAAGAGAGAGGGAGAAAGAGGAAGACAGGAAGAGAGAGAGAAAGGGAGAGAGAAGAAAGAAAAAAAGCCCAACCTTTCCAGTGTCCTAGTGACTTGGAAAAAGTGAATCAGCCATTGTCACTATGTATAGGCTTTTTCATCCGAATTGGAAACTACTTTGACTCCAGATCTTTATAACCAGTCTAGAATTTATTGGAATTTTGCTTTCATAGGATTTAGAGCTGGAAATGACCTTAGGGATCATAGAATTCTAGACTGAGAGTTGTAGAGTGTCTCAGAGGCCACTTTGTCAAATTCAAGAAAGATTCTCTTCTACAGCTTACTTCAAAAGCTGTCATCAAACCTCAAGGGGAAAACCTCCAGAGAAGGGGAGCTCAGTACCTCCCCAGACAGTTTATACTACTTTTGAACAGCTCAAATTGTTACGAAAGTTGTTCTGACTGTCAAGCTTCACTTTACCTCTTTCTGTCCATTGCTCATTTTTTTTTTTTGTCCTGGACTAGAAGCTTCTCAATGCAGACGAAGAGAACATTAACTTTATATATAAAGATATATTTTTATATATAAAGATACACATCTTCATATATTCTATCACAGTACTGACTCCTTGTAAGCTCACAATTCACTACAATCCTCAGATTTTTTTCTGATGACCTGATATTCAGCTATGTCTCAATCTTGACTTAAGAAATTTGAGTTTCTGAATATAAAAGTGGATGTAAAAATATTCCTACCCAAAGAGCAACCTTTTGTCAGGATGAATCAGGAGAACATAATCTTTTACACATAGCAAACACTTGATAAGTGGCTATAGAATGATTGAATGGAAGTAAATACAGGACAGAGAGCGGAAATAAATAACAATGAGGTTTGGTGGAAGGAGTAATGAATTTGGAGTCAGAGCACCTGGGTTCAAATCCTGGCTTTGATACTTTTTTCCTATGCAAACTTGGATGTCGCCTCATCTCTCTAAATCTCAGTTTCCTCACCTGTCCAATGAGAGGGTTGGACTAGATGACCTGTAAGGTCATTTAATCTCTGCTTGCCTCAGTTAACTCAATTGTAAAGTGACCTTAGAGGTCATCTGGTCCAACCTATCATTTCGCAGATGAGGAAACCGAAGTCCAAGGACATTCAGTGACATATCAAAGGTCATACAGGTAATAAGTAGCAGAGACAGGATTCAAACCCAGATCCTTCATTTCCAAACCCTGCTGTTCTTCTCCCAAACCATGTCTCTATGTAATATTTCTTGGGGGAGAGGTACATTTCTTTATTAAAAGATGACACACACTTTCATATTCAACATAGTAACATATGAGCTGGAAGAAATCTCAAAAGCCATCTAGTCAAACCTTTTCATTTTTCAGAAGGGGAAACTGAGGCAAAGAGAGGCAAAATGACTTGCCTAACTCTAAGGCTATATGTATATAGGCAACTGGTTTGCATTTTATAGTATCTTATACTTTCAGTTGTAGAACAGGTCTGGATCTGCATTGGTGGAGGGACTTTCCTCAAGAAGCACTCTTCACACCAAAGAAATCACAGGAACTGACCAAAAAATATCTGGCATAATGGATAGAGTGCTGGAGTTGGAATCAGGAAGATCCAAGTTCAATCCTGCCCCATTTATTTACCAGCCATGTTACCCTGGAAAAGTCACTGAACCTTTTTTAAGCCTCAGTTTCCTCAACTGTGAAAAGGGGATAATAATAGCACTTACCACCCCCCCGGATTATGAAGATCAAATGAGATAATATAGGCAAAGTGCTTTTTGCAAGCCTTAAAATTCTATGTGTCAGTTATCATTATTATTTTATTATTACAGAGCATTTTAGATAAATATACTAGATTATTTTATTATTTGTCCTGGGTTTCACAGAGAAGGAAATAGAACTGAGCTTCAAACGTGGGTCCTCTGTTACAAATCTGACATTATTTCCACTTTGGTTGTTCAGTTAATTTAGTCGAGTCTGACTCTCAGTGACCCAATTTTGGGTTTTCTTGGCAAAGGTACTGGAATGCTTTGTCATTTCCTTCTCCAACTCATTTTATAGATCAGGAAACTGAGGTGAATGAGGTTAAGTGACTGGGCCAGAGTCACACAGCTAGTAAGTGTCTGAGGCCAAATTTGAACTCAGGTCTTCTGACTCCAAGCCCAGTGCTGTATCTACTGCACCACCTAGCTGCCCCCATTATTTCCACTCCATCCACTATCTGGGCCAAAAGTTCTCTTCCCAGGTTGTACTTTCCCGCTAAATGCCCTGGAAGGCACGTGTCTAGGTGTACGCACTTTCTTCCTTTGAGAAATTCAAATGTGCCAATTTATACTGAAGACCTCCCATTCTTCTAGGCAGGCAGACCCCTTATTGAGGGGCTTCAGCACTTGCCTCACTCCGCCTACCACTTACTGTCATCTCAGGCACACTCCCAGGCTTTTAGTAGGGATGTACACATGTGATTTATTTGCAAATACTTTTCAATCCGAATGAGAGCCTTGCTGCACAGTGCACTTTGTCATCAGGTGTCAACACCCTCTCCACATGAAGAGCAGCATTATGTGATGTAAAGGTTTGTAATTAGATTGTGTGGGGATCCTTAAATCTGAATTTTCATTTACTGAAAGCCAGAGCCTTGGATAGCTCTCTGAAAGCTGACTGCCAAGCCTTTCCAGGGGACAGTGTGCAGAAAGGAGGGAAGAACTGAAGTCACTGAATGCAAATTTTATTTACAGTTAGTATGTTTATAAATATATATTACATTCTTACAATCTACAATATATTCTAAGTATAGTGGATTCTGACTAGGGAAGTGATGGGGGAGGGGCGGGAGCAGTGAGCTGAATGGGGCAGTGATGAGGAGTGAAAGAGAAATAAGGATGTAACTGAACAAAAAAAACCATGGGAGATGCGTGCTGGGATTAAAAAGCAACAAAACCAAATTAATCAGTCTTAGGATTGGAAGCAGGCAATGTCTGGCCATTGAAGCCCCAGTTTGGGGACAAACCTTCTCTTCATCTTTACCTCCACCTCTTAGGATTCCTAATTTCCTTCAACTCACTGGGTCAGGTGTCAATGACTCCTTTTTTGATCCCTAACAACAACTCCATCCCCTCATTCCCACCTCTTCACTAAGTAAGCTCATTCCCTCTTGAAATAACATGCTATGATAACCCTTCCCAATGGACATATTGCATCCCTTCAAGTAGACTGTAAGCTTCTGAGGGCAAGGACTAGGGTTTGCTTCCGTCTTTGTCTTTCTGCTGCATAGCAGAGAATTTAGCTTAATCAGTAATCAGTTAATTCAACAAATATGTATTAAGTGTTTATCACATGTCTGGCACTGTGCTAAGCTCTGGGGGTACAAAGAAAAGTGGGGGGGACAAAGAGTTCTCCCCTCCAGGAACTCACATTCTAATTGGATTAAACTAAGGGAGAAGTACAATGACTTTCATGGTAGACTTTTTTTTTTTTATTAAGTGCTGGGTTTCTCCTCCTCCTCACCTGAAAATTCATACTCTCAGACCTAGCTTTCCCATCTTGGTGTCTATGGGGCCTTGCAAGACACCAAAGAGCAGACTTAGAGATAGATAATGAAGCAGCCCAGTGATCTTTTCTTAAAAGGTAAGGGGAGTTAGATTATGTTGAGTTCAGCATGGATAACCCTTATCCTTCCCCTCTAAACCCAACCAGCTACTTTATTAAAATAACCACACAGGAGGCAAGTACCAAGTGATCCCAGATGGCTTGGTGGAATGAATCCTAGGAAATGCTGTAGAGCTTGGGGGGGGGGAGAGGTGCATGGAGAAAGGTCAAGGATGGTTTCCCAACTTAGCAGAGATGTAACTAGGAATTCTGTTACTCAAGAAAAATCCATCTGGGTAGGAAGGTTGGAAGAAGAAGATTTTGCTCCTATTGGTTGCAGATCCCCAGAGAGTCTAGCCCAAGCCCTGGGGCTGGTAAGCTACTGGGGTGGTCATGCTATGCAGAGGACCAGAAGTTTCAGGGATGGCAACTGAGAGGTCCATTGTAGGGAGGAAGCTAGCTCTGCAGATGCCAGCTACCCTTGGCACCCTCATCCCATCCTAATTCTACCTCTGAAGCCCAGAAAACCCTTACTGAGGGCTGTAAAGTCCCCCGTGACAGTGACTAAACAGTTATAGAATGGCAGGATCGTGGATGAGGTGTACAAACTGAAATGTTAGAGATGGATTGAGTGAATTTGCTAAAAAGAAACTGGTTCTTTGAACCTAATCGGAATTCTGTGTCTGGTAAATTGATGTCAGTGTGACTGTCCCTTACTTTAAAAACTAAAGACTACTCCAAAGCACCCCATGGAGTTCATTTCTCATTATCTTATTACACATATGGTTACATCTTATTGGCACGCTTTCCCCCTTTCTCTATGGGGTAGTAATTGCCTGCCTTTTCGGTTGCTAAGGAGATTCCCCCACCTCAATTCTCTGGGGGATGTGAAGTCACAACAGTCACTTCTCAGTGTCTAGTGTGAAACCAGTCTCTGTCCATTATCAATAATGTTCATGGCTAGATATTTTGCTCTTATTTTAGCTGGTGTGCTTCCTTCCATTGATCCATTTAAAAAAAAACTGAACCTGTCTTTTTTTCCCCCTCCAGTCTGTATGGGAGCTGCTTGGATTTTGTAATATCCAAATTGCTACATTTATTTAAAAAAGAGAGAGGGAGATTGATAGAGAGAAGAGAAATTGCTCTTTCCTGGAAAAGTTCATTAAATCAAATCTTATTTTTGTTTCCAGTTGTGAAAATCCTGCCAAGCTTGGCAGACATCAAATAAACCTCACTTTGAATAAGACTTTTGGAATGGGAATTCCTATCTTGACTGACTCCTGGACTCCATCCTGCTGACTTCAGGTGGTTTTCTGGTCCTCAGCTGAAGATGTTGCTCTTCTCTTTTCCTGCCAATTGACTTCCTTCTGAGATGTCCTTGTGCCCCACTACCCCAAATTAAAGGCAGAAGGTGAGCAGAAAAACAAATGTTCCCTCGTTTCCCATTACACCTTTTCATGTAACCTTTCCATGTAGTTTGTTAGTTCTTTACATTCTCCCAGATCCATATCTTGGCAAACCCATTTTATGTCATCCATACTGCTCATCAAGATGGAGTTGACCGTGGGGCATCCCTCATCTGAGGAAATGGTGGTGAAGGTGGTAAATTTCACCCTTTTTCGCTTAGAGGTAGGGGAAGCTGTGGGCTCACTTTTCTGGTCTTTCCCATCAGCAAAAGGAGATTCTGAAGACTTGAAAACCTGACCATTAAGACTCTTTTGGGAGTTTGTATTGAGGAGATACTTACTCTCCTCAAAATCTAACCCTCGGTCAATGGCAGTGATCTGCTCTTCCTGTGGGGAGGGAAAATTCAGTTGATTCTCCAAAAGTTCTGTGCGATTACTTAACCCCACCCAATCATGTGAATGACTCATGCCCTCTTGCTCCTCAAAAGGAACCTGCTTATGCCTGTATTTCAATGCAAAGGTCACACAATTAATTAAGAAGACCAAAATAGCAAGGCAGAAGACACCCAACAGAGCATACATTCCAATCTCTAAGTCACTTAAGCCCCGGGGTGTCTGGTCTAGGTCATTCTCCTCTGTCTCTCCATTGTTCCTTGGGAGATCAACTTGGGCAGGGAAGCTGGTGAAGTCCATGGGGATGGTTTGTAGGTGGCTATTATCATCTAAAAGATGTTCTTGTTTATTCTTCTTCCAGAAGATGGATCCGTCTGTTGTGGTTCCCCTACCTTCCATGCGGTCCATGGAGAAATTGCTGAAAAATTGCCCATCTGGCCTCATTCTTTCTTGCCAAGTTGTTTTAGACCTCCTGTCACTGGCATGGGTTTCCAGGTGACCCCTTCCCCCATGTCTGCTGTCACTGGTGTTGGGGTTGGCATCATTCTGGCCAAACTTAACTTTGATATTTCCCGTCCCAACAGCCAGCACACTCTTCCTCTTAGACTTCTGGCATGATTCACTAATCACCATTTCCACCTTCACCAGGGCACCCTGCCCTTCCTCCACTTCAGCAGTAATAACAGGCCATTTGAATGTGGAGTCTTGGTGGATGGAGACTACCTTTTCATCAAGGGATGTCACCATCAGAGAGAAGTCCTTTATGTCATAAATATCCAAAGGCATGACTGAGCCATCACTGAATTGGATCCAGCAACTTATGGCAGCTTCCTGTTAATAAAGCACACATACAAATTACCAAAAAAAAAACCTTACTGGTGCTTGAGCTTCAAGGACCTACCTCTGGAGGACAAAGCTAGGAGTAATGAGGAGGAGTTGTGGAGAGCCCATTTTCTAATAACTGGAGTAATCTGATTGTGGGACTGGCCTGCCTGGAGTAGATTACCTCTCACTGGAGGTTTTCCAACTGTGGAGGACCATTTACTGAGGATGCTATAGATGGGGTACTAATCTACCTCAACCCATTCCACTTCAACCCATCCCAACCCAATCCAATCCAACTCAATCCAACCCAAACCATCCTAACCAAACCCAATCCAATCCAATCTGATCTAATTCAACAAACGTTTATTAAGCGTTGATTATTATTATTAAGACATCTTGCTAAGCATTGTGGACTCAAAGGAAAAAAAGTCCCTCTCCTCAAGGAGTCTCCAGCCCATCGGGATCAGGAAATATAATAAATACACAAATCAGTAGATATGAAATATATACAAAATAACAAAGTAATTTCAAAGGGGGGGGAATATTGCTAATAACTGAGGGGATCTGGAAAGGTATCACATAAAGATGTGACACCTAAGCTGTGTTTAGAAGGGAGTGAGAAATTATAAGACGTAGAATTGAGGCGGAAGTAGATTTCATTTCCAGAAAGGCAGGTATGAATGTTTGGGGGTGGGGGTAGGGGTGGGGGAGGGGGAGAAATTGAACAAAGTCATGGAGGCAGAAGAGGGAATGCCATATACACATTGGACTAGGTGATCTCTCAGGTTCCTTCTAACTCTGAGATTCCGTGACACTGTGATTCTTTCTCTGTGACTGGCCCTCATGCCACAAGACAATAGAAATACAAATGGTGAACTCTCCTACTCAGTAGAAATAAAAGGCAAGACCTACCATGGCTAAGGAAGAATATGAATTTCTATGAAGACATAAAACACATGGCCAGTTTTAAAGACTTGGTAATAAGATTTGTTTCTCTTGAGGTGTTAAAAGAAAGATGTGTCCCCTGGGCTGTATGGCTTCTACTTTTGAAGGATAATAAATCACATGTCAAAAGGCATTATTGGTTACTGGGGTTATTTACAAGTGTTATGTGTTTAAGTGAAAAGAAGAACACAATATTTACTACATTATTTTATAAGTTGCTTTAATACAAAAGTTCCACTTATTAGTCATAACAAACATCGGAGGACCCAGTCTGAGAGATGATGCCCTCATGGTGCTGTTTCCTGGCTTTATTAGGTCTTGACTACTTTGTACTCACAGAAGTACATTCTGTAAGGGCCCAGGGTTTATGTGCTTTTTGTGGACACTAACAATCAATTTTGTCTGCAGACTTGGCATCTTAGGGCCGATGACAGGTCGAAGAGTGGGGGTTACTTTCACTTGTTTCTTTGGTCCTTTTGGAATACCAGCCTTTTCAAGTCCCTTGGGTGAATCAGTTGCTCACTTGGGCAGGCCTAGCCAGAGCAGATAATAGTCATCAATTTCCAGGGGTTCTATAGTTTTAACTAGGATACCCTTCTGGCTGAGACTGATCATGTGCTCATCTTTGAATGTCTGTCCACAGTGCTAGAGCATTACACATTATCTACTTTGATCCTCCCAACAATCCTATATGGTAGGCACTATTATTATCACCATTTTATAGATGGAGAAAGTGAGCCTTGGTGAGGTTGAACATACAATTAATAGGCAGCTAGGTGGCATGGTGGATAGAGCTCTGGGCCTGGAGTCAGGAAGATCTGAGTTCAAATCTGACTTCAGATATTGACTAGCTGTGTGACCTTGGGCAAGTCACTTAACTCTGTTTGTCTCAGTTTCCTCATTTATAAAGTGAACTGAAGAAGGAAATGGTAAACCAATCCAGTATCTCTGCCAAGAAAACCCGAAATGAGGACACGATTGAAATAACCGATCAACAACTATAATACGATTAATAACTCTCTAGGGCAGGGGTGCAGCACCTGTGGCCTTGAGGCAGCACCCACCCTGTACTCTAGGGAGTCAAGTTATCAAGCATTTATTAAGTGCCTACTACTTCTAGACACTAAAATAAGTACAAGGGATGCAAAGAAAGGTTAAAAACAGAGTCCCTAATCTCAAGATGCTCACAGTTTAGTGGGAAGATAACATGCAAACAAGATAAAGACAGGATAAATTGGAGCTAACCTCAAAGGGGAGGTGTAAGCATTAATGGGGATTGGGAAAGATTTCTTATAGAAGGTACGGTTTTAGCTGGGATTTGAAGGACATCAGGGAAACCAGGAAGTGAAGAAGATTACTTATTTAACTTCTCTGGGCCTCAGTTTCCTCCTCTGTAAAATGAGGGGGATTAGACTAGATGAGCTCTGAGTTCTCTTCTAACTCTACACCTATGATCCTACAATAAATAACATAGTTCATTCTATGTTACTAAAGGGCTAAAAGTACTCTGGGCTCTGACATGGGCATCCCTGGCGGGCAGTGCCCCTGTAATACCACCATAGTTAGAGCTCATCAAGAAATCAGAGAAGAAATTCAAATGCAGTTTTGATTCTTTGCAACTGAAATGTCAGAGCCAAGTTGCATGCTGGGCCTAAATGCCATCAAAAGCAACTCTGGAAGAGATTTCAAGGTAGCATGTTTAGTTCTTATGTCAGGAATGGATTAGTTTACTGGCCTGGTTTCTGGCCAAGGCACATCAATTTCTTAACTCTTCCCAGACAACAAATAGGTAGCAGATCTTTATCACCTAGTAAACATAGCCTCACTTTCTATTTCTCACTTGGGATCTATAACTTGGATCTCTCCAAGGGGCTATGGCTAGCCCTCAGTAAGAATTCTGATCAGTTACAGGGATCATTGACACTCAAGTGTCTTTTGGATGGCAGCCACTGCCTGAAAAACGAATAAGCTTAACCAGAGCAAAGGAAGATTAGCAAACACCTGGTCAGAGGGCACTCAGTGGGCACAGCAAAATGGGTAGGAGGTTCATTCTCTTCAGGTGCCAGCTTTTTACTACCTGACACTTCTCCCTGAAGGAACAGCAGCAGAAAGCTTAAACCTACTAAAGCCTAGGGGAAGACTGATGAGGTGCCTGGGGAAAGGCCTAGGGGAGAGCCAGCTGGCATTGGGAATTACAGGATCTTAAGCAAGAAGGGTGAGAAGTCATTGAGACCATGCAACAATACTCAAGATACCTTGGGTTCAAATCCTGCCTCTGACACTTGTGAACTGTGTGACCCTTGATCAGTCTCATAACTACTCTCAGCTTCAGTATCCTCATTTGCAAAATGGCAATAGTAATATCTCCAACCTCACAGAGTCCTATTGAGGCTCCAATGAAATAATGGATGAAAAATGTTTTGCAAACCTTACAGTACCTTGTATATGGCAACTAAGTGCTTATTATTTGCAAGACATTGGGCTAGAAACTTGGGTGAGCAAAAACAACAACAAAAACCACAGAACAGACCCTTACCCTCAAGAAGCTAACATTCTACAGAGGGAGTTGGGGGTGGGACTAGGCTAGATGAACATATGCAGAGTGATTTCAAGAGGAAAAGATCATCGACAACCCAGGCAATCAGGAAAAAGAAAAAATTTGTGTAAGAGGCACAATTTCACAGAAGAGGCTCCTGAGATGAAGACTGAAGGAAGCTAAGCATTCTAAAAAGTGGAGGGAATGCATTCCAAGCGATGGGGTCAGCCCTGGTCTAGGCACCTCTGTGCAGGAGATGGTTTATCAAATTGGGGAAGAGCTAGTAGGTAAGTCTAGCTAGAACAAAGAGTGTGCTAAGGGGAGTAACCTGCAGTCTTATGGAAGGTTAGACTCGAGCCAGATTGCGAAGGGCTTAAGGAGTTTATGCAAGAAGACTTTCTAGGATTACTCCCAGTTTATTTATACACATATGGATACATATTATTTATTATAGTTACAGAATATACTTATTACAATATGTGTATGCAGATATAAATGTGTATATATATATGTGTGTGTGATCATGATACATGGATATATGTTACATGTTACAACATACACATAAACATATATACACATACATATACACACATCTCTCTCTATTTTTTCACACACACATATATAATTTTGCTGGTGCCAGCCTGAATTGGCTTGCAATCATGAAATTTTCAAGGTGAGCATTTATACCTCAGAAATTGGCAAATGGTACAAATAAAGGCATAATTTATTGTTTGGTTGACTGTCTAGATTTAAGACAGTGTACATGCAATTTTAATTTAATATTTAAATTGTTATGCACGTTTGTTTCATAGCTTGTTGTTCAACATTTACCAGCACACATGTGTGTATATATTTATGTTTAGAAATACAGAAATATATTCATTGTAAATATGTTATATGTGTTTCTGTATGCATGTGTATGTATGTGCAATATGCACATAATTGTTTGCATGCTGCTTCCCCCATTAGATTGTGAGGCCCTTGAGAGCAGCTCTGATGCCAAAGGGCTAAAGAATGCTTGATGACTTGATATTCTGTCCTAGAGGCAAAACTGAAGAAAAACAAATGGATGAATGAATGACTGAATGGAAAAGTATTATTAAGCCCTTACTATGTGTCAGGAACTCTGCAAAACATTGGCAATCCTAATAAAAGGGAGGAAGACAATCCTTGCCCTTGATAAGCTTACATTCTAATAGGAGAATATAAGATGTAAAGGAGAGTTTAAAAAGGGGTTGGTGGTGGTGGTATGATGCCATGGTTTGAAAATGACTGGGAACTAACACAATGACCTGGTTTTCCAGCAAAATGTTTTCAGCGGGACAGTGAGATGGTCCAATCTGTGACTTAAGAATGGTCATTTGGCAGCTACTTGGAGGACTGCCTGGAAAAGGAAGACACTGGCCTGCTCCATGCTTCATTCCCCCTTACGACCTTTTTGGCGGCCCCCTCTTGAACACCTGTAGTGCTAGGGGGTAGGGAGGTTCTAATCAGGCTGTATCATGGAGCTGTTGCTCCACAAAATGGCCAGGAGCTCTGGTACCTGCTTAGGTGTCTGCAGTAGCTCCTGAGCCATGGAGGTGGCAAAGATCGCTCGGTTGCTCCCTGGGCTGAGCTGCAAGGAGAGGGAGAGCCCAGTCACCAGCTGGACTCCGAGGTCAGTGATTGTCACCTTCTCGTCCAACACAGTCACTGTCTTCTCGGCCAGGATGGCGTCGGACAGCGGGGACAGGATCTGAACAGAAGAATCAGCATGAGAATTATTTTATTAAAATGTGTATTCCTTTCTGAAAAACAGCCCCAGTTGAAGCAACCCTTTACGAGAAAAACAAAAAAGAGAAGACACACGAACCACAGTTAACGCCAATCAACCTTCCATTTGATCTTGAATTACTAAAGGAAAACATCTTCATTCATCACTAGGAGTAGAGTGGAGAGAGGCACTCATTGGGTTCAGGGCAGTCTCCAGTCCTGACTGCCATTAATTAGCTCTGTGACTCCCGGAAAGTCACTTTACCCTTCTAAGCCTCAGTTTCCTTATCTATAAAATGGGGATAGTAATACTTGCAATGCCTATTTCCCAGGGAAGTTATGAGGGAAGTGCTTAAGTCACAGGTTGGATCTAGAAGGAATTTTAGAATTTTGCCACTTATTAATAATAGCTAAGATTTATACAGCTACATATATTTATATGTATTATATATAATATATTTCAATGTATATTATATACACAAAGAGATGCAAAGCACTTATTTAAAAATTGCTAGCATTTATATAGTTACATTTATTTATATATTATATCACATATTTTATGTACATCATATACATATATATAGAGAGAGCAAAGCAATTTACTTAATAATAATAATAATAACACTTAGAATTTATAAAGCACTTTAAGGTTTGCAATTTTTATTTCATTTGATCCTCACAACAATCCTGTGATGTAAGTGGTTTTTTCATTCCCATTTTACAGATGAGGAAACTGAGGCTAAGTGAAGGTAAAGTGATTTGTCCAGGGTCACACAGTTTGCACGTCCAAGGGAGGATTTAAACTAAGGGCTTCCCAACTCTAAGACCAGAGCTCTATTCAATGCACCATCTAGATGCTTACAGCTATTACCTTACTTGATCCTTACTATGTGATCTTGGATAGGTCATTAAACTTTTCTGGGCCTCAGTTCCTGGTCTATAAAAAGAAGGAGGTGGATTAGATGGTCCTGAAGACCCCTTCTAGCTCCTGTTCCATGAGCCTATGGTCCTAAGTGGCAGTGCCAAATCTGAACTTGGACTTGACCCCAAGTCTAGTCTTCTTCCCACTTCACCATGATGGGAGCTATTATTCAGCATGTACTACTTTGTCTTTTTTTTTTTTAGACAATTGGGGTTAAGTGACTTGCTCAGGGTCACACAGCTTGTAAGTGTCAAGTGTGCGGTCTGAGGCTGGATTTGAACTCAGGTCTTCCTGATTTCAGGGCCGGTGCTCTATCCACTGTGCCACCTAGCTGCCCCTTGTATGTATTATTTTGAATACCAGCTAGATAAGCTCTATTTACATTTGGAAATACTAATCAATGCTGGGTTAAAACCTGCCCCATGACCTTAAGGTCCCTGTAATAGTAAGAATGTAAATAATAAAATATAATAATAAATATGAATAAAACACCAATTATTAATTGGCATTCTACATTAATAACCAATGTTTTGATTAATTGATAGTAAAATATTATTAATAACATATAACTTTTACATAGCACTTCAAGGGTTACAAAGCACTTTACATATCTCTCAATTGGTCCTCACAACAACCCTGAGAATTTGGTGATATGACAGATGAGGAAACTGAGGCTCAGAGTTGAAATGACTTGCCCAGGCTCACACCATAGCTACTAAGTATCTGAGGCAAGATATGAACTCAGATCTTGCTGACTCCACGTCTGGCACTCTATTCACTGGTATCATCTAGAGATAACATTCCTTCTCCTCCCCAATGTTAGTGATTTGTACCTTTTTTGTACAATGTACAATTCTTTTGTACAATTTGTACAATGAGTTTTATGTTTATACTGCCAGATCTTATCAAAGAACTAAGATAATGGGCCATGTGGACCAGGTATTGGCACAAACACTCCTTGGGAGTTGGGGGGATGCTGTTTGGGAAGGGTCTTTTCCTTTCTTTTCCATAACCTAAATAAGTAAGTGGGATGGGCTTGTGGTTAAACAGTACTCTTTGGAGACTTACTTTTCTGGACTGAATGGATTATAATTGAATTGTTGTTGAAAGCTTGACCTCATGGACATCTGTCTCTCTCTGAATTCCCCTTTTGCAGCTGCCGGGGAGATTTATGAGTACATATGTTGAATTGCACCTCGAGACCTCAAACTCCTTAAGCCTTGACACCCAAGTTGTATAGCCCCATCCAGCCACCCTCATCAATTCCCATGTCTGACTTTGACAAGGAGAGATGAGCAGTGTGTTCTGAGGTGATGGCAGATGAGAAAACTTGTGCTGTGAAGGGACAAGGAAGCAATAAGGAAAAAGAAACATTTGATGGCCCCAGAGACAGAAGACTAACAGTACTCTCTAGCAGCAACCAAAGGACAGCTTTATTTTTTTTAAAGCAAGGTTAGAGGGGCCATTGCTCCTAGCCTGAAAAATTAGCCCTGGATACAAATGGAACTCCGTATCCCTTAATGGAAAATTAGATATATTTAAGGAGCTGAGAAAACCTCTGAAGACTTTATAAAAAGTGTCCGGAATTTCTGAAATTTGTATCACAAAAGATGGGAAGGGGCCTTCTTTTTAACATCAGTATTTTTCTAGTGAGGCTATGAATCATGGAATGCCACGAAATCTGATGAATGAAAATCATGGGTCACACAAACAGCAATAGTAGTAGTGGATAGGGTGATACTTATTACTAACAAAGAATTATGCCAGAGAAGATCATGGATATAGAGCTAGAAGGGCATTCAGAGGTCATCTAGTCCACGCTCATTTTACAGAGGAGGAAACAGAGGCTCATAGAAGTTGTGAATTGCCTCAGGGGTGGGGAACTTGAGGCCTCAAGGCCACATGTGGCCCTCTAGGTCCTCAAGGGTGGCCCTTTGGTTGAACCCCTTAAGGGGATTTGCTCTATGAAGTTTGGATTCAGTCAAAGGGCCACACTTGAGGACTGAGAGGGCCACATGTGGCCTTGAGGCCACAATTTCCCACTCCTGGCTAAGTTCACACAGTTACTTAGTAGCAGGAACAGGATTTGAACCCAGGTCCTGTGACTCCAAGTTCAGAACTCTTTCCACTTCACCTATTGCCTCCAAATATGGCTGGAAAAGGAAGTGGGTGAGGAGGCAGCCAGGTAGCCGCAGTAAAGGATAATTGGTAGATATCTCTGCATACTTCACTCATATCTAGAATATCTCAAGTGATCTTGTGGAAACTCCACAGGGAGTTCAGTGGATAACCTTGGGAAGAGAAATTAGGGGGAAAAACATGGGCAGAAATTGTAAAGGATGAGAGTGCATGGATCTGTCTCATTGGAAGAATTACTTTTATCAATGAGATAAATTCATGCAAACAACAATATAGATATGTTGTATCATCAGAAATGAGATGGTCTTGGTAATTGAAAGATATAATTGAGATGGGAATTAAAATGAGGAATAATGACTTCAGTAAATAATGACATGTTCAGTTTTGGGCTTCACACTTTAAGGAAGATGTTGATTAAGCTACAGAGTGTTAAGAGGGGAATATTCAGGAAACTCGAAAGGGTTGAGCTCATGCCATAAGAAGACTGGTTAAGGAAAAGGGAATGTCTATCCCAGAGGAATACTATTGGGAAATAAGGGCTGTCATGTAGAAGACTGATGAGGAGTAAGGATCAGACACAATCAGCAGGAATTTCCAAGAGTCAAATTTAGGCTCCTTTTAAGGAACAACTTCCTTCTCAATTCCCAAAGCAGTTGTCTTGGGAGGTGAAGAATTTTGGAAATCTTTAAGACAAGACTGTATGGACACTTGTCAAACAGAGGTTTGGATTAAACAGAATGATGTCATTTTCCAAGGTGATGTTTGACGATTCACTGAAATACTGTGATGGTAAAATACCCAGGAAGGAGATATACTGATTGGGAGTCATATCCCCTCTTCCCTTACTGGGGACTTCCTAAAATCTCAAGTATGTAGTTCCTTGCTGTTTTCCTGATAGAATGGAAGTTCATTGAAAGTAGCGACCATTTTGGTTTTGGTCTGTCTTCTCAACATTTAGTGCAGCGTCTGAAACATAGTAGGCACTTCATTAATTCCTGTTGATTGTCAAATTGATTGATCTCTCCCAATTACAAGTTATATAATACTTCTTCTGACTCAAAAAACAAACATCTAATCTTTAAACAGCTTAAAAAGCTTTTAGAAATGGATTATCTTCTTCTACCCTCTTACTATTTGGGATACTTGTTCCTAATTATCATCATCATCATCATCATCACCATCATCGTCATCATCTTCATCAGGATTTTTGTACTAGATGTATACTTTCACTGGTATAAGGAACTCCCAATGAGGAAACTCCCTCTGCTAATGTAGATCAGCAAGTGCTTTGTGACTTTTAGTCAGAAAGTTGCCTAGAGCACAGAGATTTTAAATGACTTGCCCAGGGTCACCCAGACAATACACATCAAAGGTAGGACTTGAACTCAGATCTCTCTGGCTTCCAGACCAGCTCTCTCTCTGTGTCTCTGTCTTTCTGTCTCTCTGTCTGTCTCTGTCTCTCTCTCTTTCAACATTTTTATGTTTATGATATTCTTCCTGTGGTGTTCTTTTGGCTACAAGTCATGGCACACTACAGTCTGAATAATTGATCATTTTACAGATAAGGAAACTGAGGCGCATAGGGTTAAGTTACTTGCTCAGGGTCACACAACTACCATAAGTCTGAGAACAGAGTTGAACTCAAGCAGAGTCTTCCTGACTCTATGCATTATGGCACCACCTAGTGGTCCATCATCTAAGAAATGCACGATCAAAATAAAGAGATGGACTTGACATATATAACTAGTTTTCTCCCTTGGTATCCATGCAATATCAAGAGATTGAAAGAGTCCTGGGCATATCACATGGATCTCATGAAGATTTGTCAGAGTACACAGGTCAGAGTTGCTCATAATAGGCAGGCATGGATAGATTGCTATTTGCATCACAGGAGGAATTAACAAATTCATAAAAGATAAATTATCTATATGTATCCTCCCTTCAAATTGGAAGGTCTGTGAGGGCAGTTACCCTATCTAGGCTAACTTGGACCTCTCCCTGGCACTTGGCATAGTGCCCTGCACACCGATCCAGCTTGATAAATGATTATTGAAATGAAGTGATAGTAAAGAAAGGATGACAAGGGATGAGAAGATAATGTGGAATACAAGGGAACAGATCATTCCAAGCTCGCAAGCAGGGCAGTGTGACTAGTTGTCTCACGAAATTTATAACCTCCCATAGATCTCCAGTCTCTATTCTTGGAAATTTCCTTTTCAGGGAATACTGTCTTACAATATGTTGGAGATTTCAAAGATGTAGCCTAGACAATGACAAAGCCCACAGTCATATGACCTCCTGCTCTTGTTTAATGTATTCTAGACAATGTGTGAGATAACTTATTATTATACTGTTATATTAACAACTAATTATTAATTTGTGATCCAGGGTTTTCTTCTCCATTTTCTCATTAAGGCTCACCTCCTATAAAAAGCCAGTCTCTGAAGGACACATTTTTCCTAGACCTCAATGAATATGCTCTTTAATCTTATACAGGACCCATCCAACCAAGAGACCTAGCATCTGTTTAGAGTAGAAACAAAATCCAGTCTAGAAGAGTCCTTATACTGAGGAAAGGAGCCCCTGTCTTTGTACTCCTCCATTGGAGTTTAGGGTGACCCAGATCATGAAGGAGAAAAATCAGCCAGACCTTTCTGGCTGGAGATGGATTCCCCTGTCCAGATTGCTGGATGCAGCTGAATCTCATGATCAAGCCATGTTATCAGCAGGAGGAGCTGAAGACTTCTAGCCCACCTCATCAAATGTCCACTAGTCAGGGTTGATTTTCACTTGTCGGGGACATTCCCTTTCAGAAAGGTATTTAAAGCTCTCAGGGTCTCCGCTGGGGATCTTTGGTTACCAAGAGAAACCACTGACCATTGATTTCTTGATTGGCAGCTAGCCTATTAGGCTAGCTGATTATTAATTACCCCCAAACTCTTGTCTCTCAGGGTTATTCATTCATTTCATGAGTGAGTCCATAGCTATGTCAAAGACTTTTGGTTTTGGCAGCATGGGGAACTCCCTGGAAGAGTATAGCCCATATAGACCTTGATGGTAGCTTAAGGCTCAGAGAGATCCAGTGACTTGCCCATGGTCATAGGGCTAGTTAGTGTCAGAGGTAGGATTTAAGCCCAGGTCTTCTCAACTTTCTTAAGAACTTCCTTCATTGGGCTGTAGGGAGGGAGATGGCCTCTTTTGGGCCCTAGATACTACCCCTAGAGCTGAATTCTCACCTTTGGGCAAACTCCTTTAAAGGGGCAGGGCTGAGGCAGAGAGAGCCAGGATCTTAGCTCTCTGGGCTTCCTTACCTGAATGGTAGTCATTCCGAGCTCCTGCCCAATCAGAACCTGCCCTCCTTGTAGCTTGGCGATCCGTGGCTCTTCCACCTGCATGAAATTGTTCACCAAATCTGTGATGTCCACTTGCCAGTCAGAGCCCAGCAGGTGGGCCAGCTGTCCTCCAGAGTCAGAGGCCTCAGCCACAAACTGGGTAAGGACACGCACCATGGCATGCTGGTATTGGAGAGTGCATCCTTTGCCCCGCCTCTCATCTTCTTCCTCATCATCGCTATCACGGACTGGCCTGGAAGAGTCAGAGGGGACAAGAACAGGAGCCATTACCTTCCTTTACACCCAGAGAGTCTATTCTTCTTGAGGAAAAGGGACCATTTGATTTTTTTCATTCTATCTCCTGAGTGCTTTAAGCATTGTAGGTATGATTGCTTTATGATACCAACCAAGAAGACACTAGGCATTCTAGAGTCTAAGGCAAAGGTGTCAGACTCATGGCCTACTGGCACATACAGTCGGCAGGAGTCAGATTAAAATATAATTGAGAAATTAACAAAACAAATAAAAATGCAACACAGACAATGTTAATTTCTGGTTTCTAGGTCAATCTATGGCTCACAGGGATTGATTTCTATTTGAATTTGACATCACTAGTCTCAGGCAAATTAAGATCCTAAAGAATGGGGTAGGGGGTTCTATGTGAATGTAATGATCAAACTATCAATAGCCAATCAATGAACGAGAATTTATTCAGTAAGGTGATCCCATTCTGAGCCCCAGGGATACAAAGATAGAAGTGAAACAATTCCTTGTCCCCAAGTAGCCTACATTCTACTAGGAAGATATAATAAGTACAAAGAGAAGTCAATACTAATTATCAATCTATCTCTGTGTATGTATATGTATATGTATAATACTGTAATTATATGTAATATATACATATACATGTAAAATAAAAAATTTAAAACAAAAACATACTTTGTTACCTGTAAAGTACCATCTAAATCATTATTATTTTAAAATAAGAAAATAATAAATTGTGGATATTAACAACACTCTACAAATGTATATATTACGTAATATATAAGACATATATAATTATATAATAAATACAAATACATATTATAATACATGCAGACATATGTGTGTCTTCTAAAAGAGGTGCAATTATTTTTACCCACTTTATTGTGATTCAGAGTCAAAGTGACTTGCCCAGGGTCACACAGTTAACAAGTCATGAAACAGGATTCAAACTCAGGTCTTTTTGGCTTCAAGTCAAACTGTAGAATCATATATCTAGAACTATTTGGGACTTCAGAAGTCATTGAGTCCAACCCCTTCATTTTTACAAAAGAGGGAGTTGAGGTTCAGAGAGATTAAATCACTTGCCCAGGGTCTGCAGGAGCAGACCCAAGCACAATGACCTACCAAACTGCCTGACTTACTTCTCCTCCTTCTCTTCCTCATACCAATTCTCACATCTCTGCCAAATAGACAGGTTGGGGCCCACGCCCTGTGGAAGTCTCTGGTACACTAGATTCTTAGGATGCTAGAACTGGAAGAATGGCAGGCTTCATTCAGGGCCAGAGGTCACCTCCTAAGAAGGTCAGGCAAATCTGTGTGCTATTGGGTCAGTGTTTGCATCTCCTTTCCCCATTTCCCATAGGTCACCTCAAAATGATGAAGCTAGCTCTGCCCACTGAAGCATCTGGATCAATTCCTCTGCTTGGTTCCTCTTTAGAGTTTCTGTTTCCTCTGCTAGATCTGAGGACACCGCCTACCCAAACCCTCAGTATAGATGCTCACATCCCCATCTCCACCACAGAGGCTACTGAGGTCTGTGTTAACCATCTGTACTGTACAGCTGTTACAACAGCTGGGCTGCACCATAGGACTGTTTCCCACCTCAATAACTCTGCTCTTATTGACACAGATTTAGAGGGATACATTACCTTTTGCCCTTTTCAGTGGTGGCAGCAACCTCTTCTCCATCCACACTTCCCAGTCAAAGCTAGAAGCCCCATTCTTCCTGAGGCCAGTAGGACTATCTCAAGGAGAAGAGGGATTTATTACCTTATTCTCTTACTGAGAATTCATCTTTCTTCCTTTCCTAAGTGTACTTGTTCACAGAATATATTCTTTATCATTGTATGATGACTCCCTTCTTATCTTCATCTTACAGAATTCATCTCAGCTTAAGTGACATTTTCTACTTGAAGTCCTTCCTGATCCTTCCAACTGCTAGTACCCTCCCTTCCAAACTACCTCATATTTAACTGCTTTGTATATATTTGCATTTTTCCACTTTGTTTTTGTTTCAAAGAGGACCAGTGATATCATGGGGTGACATCTTGACTCCCCTATGAACTGGACTTAAGCGAGGCAGAGTTGTGCAAAGTCATCAGCCTCTCTCTTTCAGAATTGCAAAAGTCCAGTGGCAAGACAAAAGTCAAGACGACCGGTGATGACTAGAGATACAGTGATGACCTTGGCATCTTTGATGTCTGACCAAGCTCTAAGCACTCCACAGCACCTGTTTCAGCTGCCTTCACGGCCACTGGAACAAATTGTTCTCATCCACCCATTCCATTGGGGGAAGTCTTCATATGCTTGGGATAGACATCCTTCTAACTCATCGATGGGTTAGAATGTAAGCTCACTGTGAATAGGGGTTGTTTCATTCTTTGTACTTGTATCCCCAGGACCTAGCACAGTGCCTGACGCGTAGTAGGTGCTTAATAAATAATGCTGATTGATTGATTGCTTAATAGATTGCAAGCTGGAAGGGACTTCAAAGGCCAACTACAAAGGAAGATTGTTATACTAGTTAGAGTGCTGTTCTTGGAGTCACTGAGATCTGATTTCAAACCCTGCCTCAAGCTCTTAGCTACTGTGTGATCTTGGGTAAGTTATAAAAAAATTTTTGGGACTCAGTTTCCATATCTCTAAAATGGGGTGAGCAACAGCACTGACCTCATGACTTAGTTGGGAGGATCAAGTGAGATAACACTCACAAGGGCTTTCACAAATCTCAAAATTCCATATGGATGTAGATGTTATCTAGCCAGCAGTTCTTAACCTTTTGGCTGTCATGGACCTCTTTGGCAGGCTGGTTAAACTTATGGAATCCTCAGAATTTTTTTTAAAATTCATAATTGAAGGAAATGTTAAAATTTCAGTTGGAAAATAAAAATTCAAGTCCATTGGGGCAGAGGGCGATGTGATCTATGGTGCCTAGATGAAGAAGCTTCAGCTAGTCCAATTTCTCCTTGACTACAAATCAAGCCTTGGTCCCACCGAGCCATTTGAGTTTTATGTGTGATTTAGTGGATGGAGTCTGAAAGACCTGGGTTCAAGTCTTGCCTCTAACATATACTCGCTTTGTTCCCTTGGACAATCTCTCAGCTCCAGGAAGCTTTCTAAGATTATAAATTGCAGGGAATAATAATAATAATAATGATAAGAATAGCAAACATTTATATAGCACTTACTATGTGTCAGGTTATGCTAAGCACTTTACAGTGATTATCTCATTTGATCCTCAACAACTGTGGGAAGAAGTTACTATTATTTTACCTATTTTATAGACAAGGAAACTGAGGCAAATAGAAGTTAAGTGAGTAGCCCAAGGTCACACAGTTAGTAATTGTTTGAGGTCAGATGTGAACTTATATCTTCCTGATTCCAGGCACAGAACTCTATCCACTGTGCCATCTGGAAGTCTCTATGTTTTGTGTTGTCAAGATAAAGCTAATGCTCTGTTACCTGTGTCTGTCTCGGTCCTTTACACATCAGTCCACATTAGGAAAGTAAGCATAATAGAAAGAACACTAAATTTTGAATCAAAAGATATGGGTTATCATCCTGATTACTTACTGTTTGTGTGATCTGGGGCAAGTCATTACCTTTCTTGGCCTTGGAATTTGTTTCCTTCTCTATGAAATGAGGGAGTTGGACTAGATGACCTCTAAAGTTCCTTTAAATACTTTGATCCTAGAGTGTCTGTTTTCAATAGTAACCTCCTCAAAGGCAGAGATTGGGTTTCCACAATACTCTGACCAGCGTAAGGTATCCTTTTTCATTAGTTGCTATAGTAGAAGATTTTTGATGGTTAAGATGGTGGTCCTCATTACATTCCACCCCTCTCTTATTGTGAGCTTTCAAAGTTATCTAATTGGTGTGAATAGATGATGGTCTTTCAATTTTTCCATGGAATTGTATTAAGACCAGATGACTGTACTCAGAGTTTCTAATTCAATGGTATTGGAGAAATTGCTCAGCTCATAGGATCACAAGATCAAGTAATCAACAGACTATTCAATTAACAAGTATTGATTAAGCACCTACCATATGTTGGGTACTATTTTAGGTGATGGAGATTCAAAACCAAAAATGAAACAGTTCCTGTTCTCAGTGAGCTTACAATCTATACGTGCCCATATAAATAAAATATGTACATCATAAACACAAGGTAATTGGGTGGGCACTAAAAGCTGGGGGAAGGTTGAGGAATGGCTTCATGTAGAAGGTCACTCTTAAACTGAGCTTTGGGGAAAATTAGGGATTCTAAGGGGCTAAGGTGAGGAGGGAATGAATTCCAGGCATGAGGGAAAGCCTATGCAAAGGCACAGAGATGGGAGATTGCATGTCATGTGTGAAAATACAGATTTAGAGCTGAGAAGGGACCTGAACTGCCATCTAGTCCAAACTCTTTATTTTATAGATGAGGAAGCTGAAGCAAGGAGATGTTAACTGACCCAAGGTGACCCAGATGATCATTATAACTGACATTCAGATAGTGCTTTAAAAGTTTACAAAGCACTTTAAAACCATCTCAATAAAACCTCCAAAAAAACCCCACCTGTGGTGTAGTCACTACAGATATTATTATTCCCATTCAGAAGATGAGACTGAGGTTCAGAGAGGCTGTCTCATCAGTTGTCCCATGGCCACACAGCTAGTTAAGTCCCTGAGGAAGCATTCAAAACTCGGTCTTTTTAATTTTAAATCTAGGTCTCTCTCTAATATGTCAGGACGTGATTGAGATTTGAATCCAGAACCTCTGAGTCCAAAATCAACACTCTTTCCACTATACCATATACACATAGGTATGTGTGTCTATGTGGAAGAGGTACAGTCTGATGAAACCTACCTCTTATTTGAGACAATGGGCACCCTCCAGCCCTTGATTTGGTTGAGTTCCGTGTCAGAGACTTCAATCTGGAGTGGGAGCCGAGGCACCCACACAGTCATCTCCAGGGGGCTGCTCAGGTGCTGGTAGGTGAACCTCACTACAACATTCACTTTACCTTTCATTTCCTTTCCATTGACAAAGACATAGTCACATCTGTCAGACACCTGAAACAAAGGAAAGGGAAAGCAAGCAATGAGACTTCATGGAAATATAGAATGTAAGGCTTTTGAAGGCAAGGATGTTCTATTTTCATCTTTGTATCTTTATCACCTGGCACACTGCCTGACACATAGTAGGTGCTTAATAAATGCTCATTTATTGATGGATCCATTTCCCAAGGGAATGGGAAGAAGAAGAAAAGAGGGAGGGAACAGAAGGAAGTATGAGGTCTGTGGCTAATGTTGTCCTATCACTTTGAAGAGTAACTTAAGTAGGACATTATGTTAGGTCCCAAGAATTCAAAGACAGGAATGAAAAAGAAGCTTACTATATTAAGCAGACACAACATGTACGTAGGTATACACACATTTTAAACAAAATCAATACCAGTTAATTGAGGGGGAGGGTGTATTAAGACTCAATAAAAGTTTATAAGTACCTATTACGTACAAAGTGAGAAGCAGCGTGGCATGGTTAATAGGGGGCCAACTGTGTAATCAGAAACACTTGGGTTCAAATCTTACCTCTGTCCCATTCCAGCTGTGAGACCATTGGCAAATCATCTAATTTCTTATTGACCCAGGAAACTCTCTCAATCTATAAGTTATAAATGAATTGTTGGAAAAAAATTTCCACACTAGGAATTCTTGACACTGATAAAAATCACAGGTTAAAACCAACTTCTCTTCATGACTCCCTCCCCAGTGGTGTGTTTGGAGTTAACTCGTAAGGAGCTGATTGTTAAATTTTCAGTGTGAGCATTTACACCTTGGAAATCAGCAAATCCTATAAATCTTGGCTTAATTTATAGTTTCATTGATTTGTGGACTTAAGAAGTGATGGAAAATGACAATAATGCAAATTAAACTTAAAAGTGTGTAATGCCTACAATTGTTTTGGATAGATTATTATTGACACACATCTGCCCAGTCTTCAGTGTGCTGAGTGCTGAGGAGCTGAGGATATAAAACCAAAATGAAAATTAATTTCTGCCCTCAAGAAGCTTACATTCTACTGGGATATGTCCTTCAGAATTCCTTTATCAAATTAACTCCATCTCTCTATATATATTTTTTACCCATAGCCTTTGCAGACTCAGTCTATACAGAATTATTTTGGACCACTCATCTGTTGTCTCTAAGCAATCATTTCATATAACATGGAGCAGTGACACCTCATTGTGTAATGTCCATCCATATCTGCCATCCACTGATAACAATTCAAATTAATTCCAAAAATATTTTCTTTTTAAAAATTGTTTTTATTAATTTATTTTTAGTTTTCAACATTCACTTCCATAAGCTTTTGAGTTTCACGTTTTCTCCCCCGTCTCCTCTTCCCCCTCTCCAAGATGGCATGAAATCTTATATAGGCTCCCCATATACATTCTTATTAAACATATTTTCCCATTAGTGATGTTGTAAGGAAGAATTAGAACCAACAGGAGGAACCACAACAAAGAAGAAACAAAACAAAACAGAAGAAAAAAGAGAGCAAATAGTATGTTTCAATCTGCATTCAAATTCCATAGTTCTTTCTCTGGATGTGGATAGCATTTTTCATCATGAGACTTTTGGAGATGTCCTAGATACTTGCATTGCTGAGAAGAGCTAAGTCTATCAAAGTCAGTCATTGAACAAGGTGAGTGTTACTGTGTACAGTATTCTCCTGGTTCTGCTCATTTCACTTAGCAACAGTCCATACAAGTGTTTCCAGGCAAAAATATATTCTTTTCTTTTTTTTGGTGAGGCAATCAGGGTTATGTGACTTGCCCAGGGTCACACAGCCAGTAAGTGTCAAGTGTGTGAGGCTGGATTTGAACTCAGGTCCCCCTGACTCCAAGGCCAGAGTTCTATCTACCGCACCACCTAGCTGCCCCATGAAAATATATTCTTAATCAACCTAGTAGGTGCTTGGTACCTGCAATGCAAGTATAAAAATTGTATAGCCCCTTCCTTCAAGGAGCTTATGCTCTATCTGAGATTGTGGCAGGATATAAAACATGCTATAATAAAAGGAGGCAGGGCAGTGAGGTGGCACCATAGTGGGTAGAGAGCCAGGCCTGGAGTCACGCAGACATGAGTTCAAATTTGGCCTCAGACACTTACTGACTACATGTACCTGACCAAGTCACTCAACCTTCTTTGCCTCAGTTGCTCATATGTAAAATGAGCTGAAGAAGGCTATGGCAAACCACTCCAGTATCTCTGCCAAGAAAACCCCAAATGGGATCATGGAGAGTCAGACATGTCTGAAATGACTGAATGACACGAACAAATAATACAAGGAAGGGTCAACAATTCAACGAGCATTTATAAAGCACTTAGAATGTGCCAAACGCTGTGACAAATGCTGGAAATAGAAATACCAGCAGAAAATAAGACAGCGGAGTGTGATGGAGACATAGGAAAGCTCTAGAGAGATGTATCAAAGCATTAAGCTTTAAGGATTAAGCATTAAGGAAAGTGAGTTATTTTTCATTGGATTCCTAGTACCCAGTATTTATATGAATGAGTCTGATCTCGTGAATATGAGCTTTCACTCCCACAGGCAGATTGTAACCCATTCATGGCTGCCTCTCATGTTAGACTATTATGCATGTCTTCCCATAAATATGCTATGGGCAATGGGCAATATGACGAGGGCTGACCTTGCTTTCTCTTTGTATCATGAGGATACTGGTCGCCTATACAGGCTATCCATGGGTTAACCCTTACATATGGTCAACTCATGTTATTTGGATAATACTTTTCTTTATGCCAACCTTCAATCTACTACTCCTTTATAATTCCTTGTTTGTAACGTTAAAAGTTCTACTGCCTATTTCAACTTCTCCACTGACACTGCTAGGTCAGAGGTCTCAATCTCAAATATAAGTGGATCCCGGCAGTGAATTTTGCCTTAGAAATGACAAATTAGCATTATCTACGTTCTACTGTCTTTTTATTTATTTTATTAATCATTTCCCAATTACATTTTAATATGATTTGGGTACTGGAGGCTGCAAGTTTGACACCTTTGTTCTATGAGATCTTGTTCATTTGTTTCAGTCACATCTGACTCATCATGACCCCCTTTGGGGTTTTCTTGCCAAAGATACTGGAGTAATTTGCCATTTCCTTCTCCCACTTATTTTACAGATGAGGAAACTGAGGCAAACAGGATTAAGTGACTTATCCAGGTCACACAGCTAATACTCATTTTTAATTTCTCAGAGATAGTGGTGTTCCATAACTCACATTCAGAACTGACCATAGGCATTTTTCATCCATTTAGTCTTTCCTATGTGAAGAGTTAGTTACTACCCTGTTCAAGGAGCCTCAATGGCTCCTTATCACCTTTAGATGGAAAAAAAAAACCACCAAACCAACCAAACTTCTGTTTCGTATTTAAAGTCAAGGACCACCACCACTGTCATCAACGTCATTATCATCATCATCTATAGCTAACATTTATGTAGCACCTACAATGTAGTAGGCACTGTGTTAAACACCTTATAAATATTAACTCATTTTATCCTTACAACAATCCTACAAGGTAGGTGCTATTATTATCTCCATTTTACAGTTGAGGAAACTGAGGCAAAAAGTAAGATCAATTACTTAAAGTGACAAGACAGAAAACGGCAAAGAAGGAATTTGAACCCAGGTCCCCTGACTCTAATCCATCACCCTTTCCATAAGCACCACACTGCTTTAGTTTCACTCTGTTTTCTTTTAGGTCACATCCACACACACACACACACACACACACACACACACACACACACACACACACCCATATCCTCCCCCCACACACACATGAATGAGCATTTAGCAAGACCAGCCAAGTCCCAAGAAGGCTGCCATGCTTTCTCCATTGCCCCTCTGGCTTTCAACTGGAAGACTGGTGTGTTTCTGATTTTCTGCTGTCAAAATAGTCTTTCCTCACTCTCTCTTGTATCTCTAAGTATCAGGCTATGTCAACACCTTTTGCTAGTGGCGACTTCCAAGAGCAAAACTGCTACTCAGCCTGTGGTAGAGCTTGAAGAAAAACTAGGTAGAAATAACTAGGTTCAGATATTATAGGAAGCAATTCCATGGAAGGCTGCTCTCTTGAGCTGAGGCAGCACCAGTAAAAAAGAAACAGGAGGCAATGTTTTGTAGCTTAATACATGGAAGGAAAAAATCAATAATTAAAAAAAAGAGAAATAATAATATTTCAGACATAGATCCATTTATCAGTTTGAGATGTTTGTACTCTTAAAATATCGGCCAAAAGAAAAAGTACTTAAGCCTGATTGAAAAACTTAATGAAACAAGCTCAGGAGGGTTGGCTCCAAGTTACTGCACAGCTAGATTTCTCCCTGCTAGAGATTCTGACGCATTATTTAGGTGCCGCCAAAAACATACAACATGAGGCCTTTCCTCAGGTCTCTGTCCCTCTTGCAATTTTTTCATATGTATTTTGTATTTTCTTACGCACTTGGATCTTCCACACTTGAAAATCTCTAAGTTAATGTAAATGTCTCAAGGGAAGAGATTGTCTCATTTTTCTCTTTGAATCCTTCGTAACTAGCACAGTGTCTGGGAACATTTTTTGTTGGTTAGTCATTTTTTCAGCTGGCCCAACTCTCCATGATCCCTTTTGGGGTTTTCTTGGTAAAGATTCTGGAGTGATTTGCTATTTCCTTCTCCAGCTCATTTGACAGATGAGGAAACTGAGTCAAACAGTGTTCAGTGACTTGCCCAGGGTTACACAGCTAGTAAGTGTCTGAGGCTGGATTTGAATTTGGGTCTTCCTGACTCCAGGCCTGGTGTTCTATCTACTGTGCCACTTAGGTACCCCTGTAATAGAGTTATGCTTAATAAATGTTCAGTTGAATTTGCTTAATTCTTTCTCTTCCTTCCAATTCAGGCTGTGTCCACCCGAACAAACCTGCTTCAAACTAACCAGCCAACTAACCAAGCTGGAATCTGGACAAGCCACTACATAATAACCAATGTCCAGGAAAACTGGCTGCTTC